TTATCCATAGTATTTGATCTGTCCAATCTGCTTGTTAGCTTCTGTAGTTCAGAGGCCAGTAATGGTTAAGTTGGAAGCAATAGCTATTAAAATAAAAGTTTGAAAACTTCAGAATTGTGTCCAGGTGTTTTACATTGGCTGTATCTGAATGGTGAAACCTTAAACTTTCTTTTCTGTAAAAAAAAAAAAAAAATTGCTTAAAGTAATCTTAGAAATTAGCAACTGTAGATTTTTTGAGGTTTGTTGCTTTTTTCTCCTATTTTATGATAAAAGTATGTAACTTACAGCATTGTGGATAATGTATAATACATATGGGGAATTTTATAAAAGTAGCTGAAGAAAAAGAATGGGGTGAAGAATGTTCAGTTTCTGTAAGTACATGAGATGAACCAAGTGAATTTTAAACAATTTTCAGGTCAGAAAGCCTGCTTCTCCCTCACATCCTTTTTCTTTCTCTTTTCCTCTTTTTGTTTTGTCCTATTTATCCCTTTTCTAAGTGGTGCTGGGGATTGAACCCAGGATCTTACATATCTTAAACAAATGCTCTACCACTGAGCTATCACCCCAGATCCTGTGCTTCTAAACTTTTTATTTTGAGACAAGGTTTCACTAAGTTGTCCATGCTAGGCTCAAACTTGTGATGATCCTATCAGCTTTCTGAGTGACTGGTTTTATAGGCAAGCATCTCTATACCCATCTACTGCTTGAGTATACCAAAGATGTGAAAGACAATGAATGTGCTCATACACATTTGATTATATATACATATATCTGTTTCTGTGTAGTGCAAAATACATATGTGTATAATATGCCTATTAAAGAGCTGTTTTTGCTTTTATTATTGAAGAAATAGAAAAAAACATGATACAAAAAAGAAAACTCTGTACCATGATTTTACTTGTTAACCCTTATATCGCGTGTATTACATATCACCAAAATTAGGTATAAAAAAATGCAGTTAGATTAAAATATCCATCTCTTTTCTATTCATCATGGAACTAGAATCTAGGGCCTCACTCTACCACTGAGCTGTACCTCAAGCTTTTTTTGAGAGAGGGTCTTGTTCAGTTGTCCAGCCTGGCTTCCCACTTGTTATCCTTCTGCCTCTGCCTCCCCAGTAGCCAGGTTTATAGCTGTGCACCACCATACCTGATCCTTTCGCTTTTATTTTTGGAGATGCAAGATTTGAGCAGACACTTGTTATGGAGCAGAATCCTTCACCACTCAGAAAACAAACATGGACATGTCCTTGTTTGGAATACAGACAAGACACATTAAAAAATTCCACATTTCAAAAGACTAATACTAGTTTCCCCAAAAGCAGCTAGACTTGTTTGAAACCCTTCTTTTACAAAACAAGAGAAAACTTAGGAAAGTGAGTTAATATTCAAAATATAATCAGGAGGACATTGAATTTATTAAAATCAGAGAAGATAATCAAAATAAACAAAGAGAACAAAAATGCTCTATAAAAAAGTGGGGCTGGGGAGATAACTCAGCAGCATAAGTGCCTGCCTGGCAAGTGCAAGATCCTGAGTTTAATTCTGGGTATAAAAAACAAAGAAAAAGGAAAAACACTGCAGTAGTTCCAATGCTACTTCCTTCATAAGGTGAAATATAATAGATACCATCTGTGTGACCACTCTTAAAAGCAGATCAAAAATTGCTTATGTAAGAGGTAAAGTGGCCAAGGTATGTGATTTCAGTTCCAGGAAATAGTAAACAGCATCCCTCTAGAAATCAGCCTAAAATCACTGCAGGCTGAAGCTGCACAGTATACAGTGCTCCCGCGTAATATCACCTGGCTCATTGGACCTGCAGTCAGGTGGCTCTGGGTGACATTTGTGTCAGTGATTCCATAGATTATAATAAGTGAAAGTCACTATGGCCTACTGACGTCATAGCCACCCTGACATCGTAGCACCACTCATTGCTCTTACGTCTGTGGTGATGTTCTGAGTGATCCCATGTGTTGCTAGTCGTATAAAAGCATAGCACAGCTGGTTATGTATGGTGCATAACACTTGATAGTGGTAACCAATCACTGTGTTACTGGTTCATGTACTTAGCGCACTCTGCTGTCTCCTTTAATATTGCAAGTGTCGCAAGGGGTACCATGTCACGCTAGCATGGCTTGATGTGCTCAGTTACATCTCCTCACTGTGTGAGAGTCACACCAGGTGGTTCATTTGGCCCAGCTAGATTTAAGTCTGAGTTGGGATGTCTGTGCTGTGACGGGGCCTGTTCAGTGACTGGTGACTCCCTGTGCAGCACTTGAGCTTTTAGTTGCAGGGGCCTATGATTTGGAGAAAGCCGGCCTCAGTGGTAAGGAGGACCCGAGTACTGTAAAGGCAGTAGTCCGGAGACATGGAGTCCAGCACATCCAGAGTCTCATGAGCAGCATCCCCCAAGCAAAACAAGAGCTAGATCTGGAGAGGCATCTGCGGCCCTGCAGTGCCTGAGGTAGGCATACTATCAGCACACAAGAGCTGGTTGTTAAATGGGCAGGATTGTGTAAACCACTTGTTAAACTTAGGTACCACTGAGGATCAGATCACAGGAATTTGTGATGGAGTTAATCCTGTTAAAATTAAAGGTAATACTTTAAAAGGATTTAAAAAAATAACTGCCTGGTACTTCTGGCAGTAGCAAAGCATGGCGAACCTGAAACACCCAGTATTTGGAAACAAGTGCTGAGTGGCTAGAGAAGCCATTCCTATGCCTTGTTTTTTTTTTGTTTTGTTTTGTTTTGTTTTGTTTTTTCTTTTTGGTGGAACCAGGGATTGAACTCAGGCCTTTGTGCTTGCCAGGGAAGCGCTTATTCTACTGAGCCATCTTCCTGGCTTCTCCTATGCCTTTTTGTATAGTTAAAGAGGTATGTATAAGTGTCTATGATATAGTTGAATAGTGTGTTGCTAGTGAGCTATACATCTAGGCTAGAATATTTTTATTTTATTAATGACCTTTTTCCCTGTTACCATCTGGCTTCATACCCTACATTGTACGGTTATTAACTACAAGTGGTAAGGAGGATGCCTATGTGGATTTAAAGACTAACCTAGGTAAGAATTCTGCATAGCAAAGCCTTGACCATGTAAATCTGGGTCCAGAACTGTAAGTATGAAAAACATGCCTTTGCTTTTATTATTTAATGAGGGGGAAAGTTAACCATTCATTCCTCTGGTGAAATTGGAGAAAGAACAACTCTCCACAAAGATGTTTAAAAAAAAAAAAAGTAAGATGTTAATAAATTAAAAGCAAAAGTTAAAATTTTAACAAAATGCAGGAGAATTAATAGATAAATAGCAGATATGTTTAAAAAGATCAGTGCAGCAGATTAGTTTCTTATTGAGGGAAGGGGAAAATACATTGAGAATTAGTAGAAATAAATTAAGTGCTGGAGAAACAGTTTGGTTGGGCATGAGGAGTCCCCAAGGTCTGTGCACCAATGTGGCTGGGTCTCCTGTTTACTCTGCCTTGAAGTATGGACCCTGTTTTGTGGGCTGGTCCTAGTATGAGGTTCTAAAGTGGGACTTATGGGAATCTGCCTCTTTCTCAGAAGGAAACTCACTTAATTAACCCTCATTTCCAACAGTAAACTGAACAAGTCAGCCTGATTGCCAGGTTCTGCCTTTCTCATTGTTAGAGTAACTCCCTGAAGCTGCTTCTGTCTCCTGGGTCACATAGAGGTTGCCGTGAAGCGAAGCATGGTTTCACCCTGCCATCAGCTCCCCTGGACTCCCGTGGCTCCCAACCCCCAGATGGAGTTTACTGTTTAGGCTCCTGCCAGTCTCAACTATATATCTTTTGCATTGTAATACAGCAGTCAGGCATTGCCAAGCTAGATCTGTATGATAGTGATTTTCCTAACAGTCTGAAAAGGTGGTGAGATATTTCCATGGAAAGTGATTCTGAGCTGTTGATTATGATAGTCTAGGTCACTTTTCTCACTTGCTGCTGTAGGCCATTTCACATCTCCACTTGCCTCTGAGGTCTCTGGTGCCCTAGCCCCATAGGAAGTGTACTGTAAGCAAAGGGTAGGGGCATCTCCAGCCACCCTGACAGCTAAGCCTTCTAACTCAGATGTTCTGCTCTAGGACTGTTAAGAGAACCTGGCACAGTTGTCCTCAGTAGACTTCACAGTGGTTTTTATTTTATAGGGAATCCTGGGCTTGGTTTTGTTTTCATGTTGGCTTCATTAACTCCCTAAGAAATTTAGCCAGCTGCCAATCGACCCTATTCATAGAGAACAGGGGCCCTATTGTAAACCCAGTGGTAATATTCAAAATGGCTAAACACTTAGCAGCTCTGAGCTACAAATACACTCTGCCAGACCATCCTTGGAACCTTTGTTATTACATTATCTTCCAACTCCATCAGATTCAGGACTGGTGGCACAAGTTCCCGCCTAACCTGTTCTCAGCTGCCTGTGACCCACCCTGTGCCACAGGATGTGACATATTCCGTACAGCAGGGATGAATGAGACAGCAACTATTAATAATGAAGGTACCCAAAGTGGTGTCGTGACACTGCCATCTAAGGAGCAAGTGTTTTCCCCCAGGAATGAGATTAACTTCCCGGGGAAACGAGAGAGCAAGCTGCCTGATAAAAGTCATATTTCACAACCGAGTTTATTTCTGTCCTGTGTGTTTGAAGAGTTAGGCAGATGTACCCTGGAAAATGCTTTGAGTTACTAAAGAGCACAAAGCTTACATGAAGGACAGAATTACTGAAAAATATGGCTATCAGCTGTTCTTTCTACCACATTTGAGAAAATAATACATTTTGCTACTTAATATGTAGCCAGTGGGCTTCCATAGTAAAATTCTCTGGACAAGTCCTGGCTTAGTTTTGCTGTCTCCCTCCCACATAACCTTGGGATAAGTGAGCTGTTGCCTCTGAGTTCCCTTTTCTTCTCTCTATTCTTTGTCACCTGCAGACCTCTTTGTTTTCTTTCCTCTTGGTGCCTGGGCCACTCTGACCTTGGCATGAAGCTGGGTGAAGTTGGATGGCATTCTCCTTCCCTGTTGTTTGTCTGCTGTTGCTTTCACTGGCTGACTGCTCTGGTGATTGAACCTGACTTCAGACTATGTTTTGGCTCTGTGTTCTTCAGACCTGTAAAATAAGATTTATAAGCAGCTTACCTGACTCTTCTGCCAAACTTGTCCATCCTAATAGAGTAATATTTCAGATGTGGCTGACCATTGTCAAGACTCCTTACTCTGCTTCATGAAAGATAACCTGAGTTAGCAGCTGCCCCAACTGTTCACTTACAACAAATCTATTGTCAGCCACAAACTGAAGACCTTTTACGCAAATAGCTACCTAGAAATGTAGCTATGTAAGATTTTTTAAAATTTCTAACTGCATTACTTTATGCTATTAAATTTATACTCATGGAGGGAACTGGAAAATTTTTAAAAGTTTTATGCAAAGAAAAATGTTGGAAATGGTAGAATAGCTAGCTTTTAAATACTTAAAGACTTGTTTTATTCCAGAGCATAAAACTAGAGGCAGCAGTGTTACAAGGAATGTGAAGTGAACCGAACACAATAAAGCCAGGAAGAGCCTGAGGGGTGGAAGCGCTGGCATATTCATTTGCTGCCAGAAGACTTGTTCTGCAGGAGAGATTATAATGAATGAGTGAATTCATGTATAACTATATTAGAATTTGTGCTCTTCATCAGAGAAATGGGTGCCTTGGCCCTTTTGTCTTAGGGAGATGGTGAAAGATTCCACATTATAGGCAAGTTGTTCTAAAAGAGACTGTCAGCCTTCCTACAGTTCTAGAGTGCTGCTTCTCATGATTAATTGTGCTTTTCACTATTGTCGCTGAGGACAGTAAATCTGTTCTAGATCAGATAAGTGGTGCCTTTTCCTTCCCATCTCTGAGTATAGTCACAGTTTATCATAAGTGATCAGTAGAGGCTTTAAAAGTTATTTCTCTAAGTTCATGTGCAAAATGCAGAAGTACAAATTATCTTCTATCTGGTCATTTTGACACTGTCACTTAAATTCACAACAAACAAAAGATTTTAGAGTTTTATATTACCATAAAGGAATGGAAAGGAAAAAAAAAAAAAACTTGCTGATAAGGTCATAAAACCCTAGATCTGTATTGGTGAAATCTATGGCATACCTGCCACAGCCAGCTGTTTGTAACGTTAAAGCTCTAAAAGGTACTCCATCACTGCCCTAGGTGTTTAAAGCTCAGTGGAACTTGGAATAACGTTTTATCAATTCTGTATTCTTTAGGAAAGGAGAGAAGGGAAATGGAAAGTAAAAAGAAGTAAGTTGTGTTATATACAGGTACCAGCTCCCCACAGTGAATGTGATCATTATGTACTGCAAAATGTGTAATAAACTTTTTTAAAAAATTAAATAAGGGCTGGCCAAATAGCTCAGCGGATTAAAGCGCCTGCTTAGGCAGATACAGCGGCCAGGGTTTGATTCCAGGTGTGCTGTGCTGGCCCCCCTTGGGGCGCACTGAGATGGTGATTGAGACTGGGTGTGGTGACACGTGCCTGTAATCCCAGCACTTGGGAGGCTGAACACAGGCGGATCACTAGGAGTATGATCTACGTAGTGAGACCCTGTACTAAAATACCAAAAAAAAAAAAAAAAAAAAAATTAAAAATTAAATGAGAAAATTGAAAAATAATTTAGCTGATATTCTTGATAACTGATTGATTTTGGAAAAATGTTTGCTCATGTGTATCTCCTTTCCAAATAGATGAAAGTCTAACAAGTGCTTCTTTTGTTAAGTGGGAAGAGATTTTACTGTTAATAATATTTTATTGTGCCTTGTTTTTTTCAAAAAAACAAAATATATCAGACTTTTGTTAATATTATGTCTCCTTTAGCAAAATCTGTTATCACACTCAGTTTTGCCATGTTCTTTCTTATCTTTGAATATATTTTATGCCTATATCACATTTTTTAAAAAAATTAGTCCTCTACTGGACACTCTATGGTCATAATTATTTCCCATGTCAGTTTTCCAGTGACTGTCATTATATTTTATCATAGTAGTAGGGTTTTATTTGGGGGTGACTTTGTGCTTCATTTTAGTCAACATTTCACATAGAAAGGGGTTCATTCAGCAGTGGGTGCCAGGACAGAAGGTCTGGTGCTGGGGTGAGGAGATGCAGTAAGGCCATTGGGAGGAGCAGGCCTAGGGGAGACGAGAGAATAAAAGCAGTGCAGCCTGATGGCCGTAGAGTGGAGGCCCAAGAGTCTCTGTGCTGCCAGCAGAGTGGGAGCTGCGAGGACGTGCAGTGAGCTCCCTCCTGGCTGCTCATCCTTTGTTTGTCCGTGGGGGTTCTAGTGTCACCTGTATGGAGGTATTTGTAGAGGAGGCACCTGAAGATTACATGCGCAGCTGTTCACCCTTGTTTGGAGCTGATTCTAGACATGAACATCAATCAGGTCTTTAGGAATGAATGCTGCCTCTTCCCCCACCCTACTGCACCCCATCTCTATGGGCTACCAGCTGTGCTTCTGTTCCTACCACTTCTGCCTGTATCAGCCAGAAGACCACTATTACATTTCCTTTAGACATGTGGATGAGATTCCATGGCCGTGGAAAGGAGTGGAAGTTTTATGACTATTTCTTGACCTTTGAAAAGGTGACCTTCTTAACTGGGAAAGGAAACACGGCCCAAAGCACAACCCTAGGCTAGGAGGGTGGGAGGTGGGAACTGGAAGCTGGGGTTCTCCCAGACCGTGGGAGCTCCAAGGTCAGGGTCAGCTTTGTGCACTCACCTCCATACTCTCCGAGGGTTTGTTGGAGTTAACATTTTGTGATTCTGCCCTTAAGTCTGGAACAGTGTTGTTTTGCTAACTAAAAAATGTTTAGCAAAGCTATAGAGATCTCTTAAGGAAAGCAGACTGTTGTAGAGATTTTGTTTACCTGGTATGGTGCTGGGTCTGGAAACCAGGCAGCTTTTGTGACTGTATCTCCCCAAGGGCTCTTGCCACAGTATATGTGTACTCAGTGGTCAGCTTCCTCTTCTGCCACCCAAGCCATATATGACCAGCCCCTGTCTTCATGGAGAGCAGTAGTGCCACATTAAGTACCAGGGACTGGTTTCACATTATCTTGTGGAGTGCAGAGGAGGTCAGCCCCTTGGTAGGACAGACCTGTGAAGGTAAGTGAGGCACCTTCACAGGAAGAAGGAACCAGCCATGATGGGTAGTCAACAGCCAGATCTGCTTCTAAGACCCTGTGGAGTTGGCTGCCCTGACAGTGCTACAGTCTGAATGCTTGTGGCAAGTGTGAACTCCTGGGTTCCTGAGAAACAGCCTCAGGCTTCCCAGATCAGCCAAAGAGCACTTTTCACAGGTGGAATTTAAAAAGCCGTCAGTAAAAGGTGGTAGCTGTTAGTGGAACTGTCTGTGGTAGCAGCCAGCCTAGCTGGGCAGCTGCGAGAAAATGTTTTATATGAGTGCTTTGATTACATGAGTGCTTCTTCAGGTTGTTCCATCTTCATTTTTTATTTTTGTCACAGTGGGATTTGTTAGTTTCCAATAGGTTTCACTTGAGACTGGGCTTGTTAAAAATCATAGGTATGCTTATTTGACAAACTATTCCCCAGTGCCCCTTACAGAGTAAAGGAACTTCTCACATCTTGTGAATCTCCCACTTTGGGCCAATTAGAAGTGATACTCTTGTATTTCGGGGGTCCTTTTCCAGAGATCCATGTACATAAGGCCATCGTGTCACATATTGTGGAGATTTTAAATTTGAAATGACCTTCCTGTCACCATGCCAATCTATTTTGCCACACATTTGCTCTGGTTTTCTCAGAGCCAGAGGAGCGTGTCCCGTGATGTGAGCTTCAGGTTGTGACTGTGGTGGTCCTGCAGTTAGATTTCAGCAGTGGTCGATGGTAAGAGTGCAAGCAGAGATGGGGAAGTGCTTTGGGAGATTTGTTAGGTGCTTTATATGAGTAAAGGCGGCAGGCAGTACAGAAGCATGTGGTGTGTGCTGGGATTGTTTTGTTTTCCCAAAAAATGAAGACCAAAACTAAAGAGTAGTTTTTCTGAACTTTGTTGATCATCTGCCAGTGAGAATTTTAAAAGGCCTAAATTCTGTATGAACCACAGTGGCAAGAACCAGCGAGTGGACAGATACGCAGCCAGGAGGTATCTGTCTTGCTTGAATAAGGAAGTAATTTGGCTAATGCCAGAGATGTTGCAGAGAATGTGTTTAAGGTCTTTGCAGATGCATTTTATTAGTCATTGGAGGATGTGGAGGTAAAAGAAACAGGCAAACCACGTGCTCTTTCTTTTGTTGCCAGTTCATTTTTAAAGGCTCCAAAAGGATTTGTCTTTATTAGTTGCAGTTATTGGCATCTCTAAAAGACTCAGAAACACTTAAAATATCTGTATATATTGTGTCAGATAACTTTTAAGTAAACTTTCATTGGTGCATACCATGCATATAGAAACATACGCAAATCTGAAATGCACAGCTTGATGAACTTTTGTTAACTGAACAAACACCAGTGCAGTTACCATCCAGAGCAGAGCAGAACCGTCATCCTTCTGCTTCCCCTTGCACTGGGAGCCTCACGGCAACAACTCTCTAGACTTCTAGCCGCATGAATTAGACTTGCCTAGATTTGAAGTTCTGTATAGATTGAATCGTATGGAAGGTACTCAGTGTTGACTTATTTTATACAATATTCAGTTACGAGACTCATTCATATCATTGTGTATGGTTGCAATTTGTTCATTTTGATTATACTACTACCAAGATTTAATCATCACCTCATCTGTCAGTGGATATTTACATAAATTCCATTTTAGCTGTTACGAATATTGTTGCTATGAATATTCTTATACATCCTTGGATGAACTTGCATAAAAATTTCTGTTGGAAGAGAAATTGCTGAGCCATAGCATAGGTACACACTCAAGCTCAGTGGAATGTACTAAGTTGTGTTTCTACCTTGGTGTCTGATGCTTCCACTTGCTTATGTTTTTACCCACTCTTATTTTTGTTTCCATTTTTGCTTGAGCCATTCGTGTGTGTATGGAGTAATATCCAGTATGGGTTCTCCTAAAGACTAGTAAAGTTAAGCTCCTTTTCATTTGTTTTTTGACCATTG